AGGGGCGGATCTAGGATTTTTCGAGAGGGGGGGGGGATTTGCAAAAAATTTTTCGATTTTTTTTTTTTTAGGTCGACCAAAATGATTGTCAGAGCTCTCTTAAAACATTAAAAAGACGCTGTTTTGGCCAAATTTCTGCGCCGCATTTTGGCCAAATTTTTGCAAAAGAGGTCAAAAAAGCCGTTTATAGGCACTTTTTGGAAAATTTTGACAAAAATATCGCATTTTTTTGACGCGCGCTCCCCTCAATGTTAGTATATATTGGCGCTTTTAGAAAAATTTTAGGGTCGATAGGCCAAAAATGGATTCCTTAAAAAGTACCAAAGGGGTGACCCTTTGGGTCAGCACGGGGTCGAATCCCTGAGAAAGGGCGTCCGCCCCCCCCCCCCGCCCGTTTTTGGCTTTAGATGTCTCTCATACCTTATAGTATAGTATGGACAGTCGTTAATCACAAAACAGACCGGAATGGAAAACAAAATAGCATGCCGCGAGATGAAGAACAACTGATTGATATACATTTATACCAATGCTTTCCAGTCTGCGTTTTCAATTTTCAGGGTCATGTGACCAGCATACAAATAGAAATACATATTACAACATACATTTTGAGAGTAAAACGATTGAAAATTTTTGCTTTTGAAGTGCCCTTGGGACATAAGTTTTTTTAGTCCCCGTGGGACTGATTTTTGATGCATAAATTTCTTTCCTCTTGAAGTTTCAAATCTTTTATGGACTCAGGAATCTTCTAGTTTTCTCAATTGTCGTTTTGTTCTCATTTTGTCGTCTTCTTCGTCCTGGTTCTTCTCATGTTTTTCCGTCGTTTTTGCTTTTTCGGTCGTAGTTAATTCCGTTTGCTGTTTGCCCTTTTTTCCTGTATGACGAACACTACCTCCGTTGGGTTTGTGCCCTCCTAGTCCCGACTGAATGTCAACGATACAAGGTGAACGACTTCTCCTTTTCTCCTCTTGATGGCATCCAAGAGTCTTACGCAAGCTTGGAATTCGGGCGATTTTTCGTTGAAGCTCATTTAGTTATCAGGCTCTTAATGTTTGAGCTGCTATCCATTTCTCTTTTCACTTCAGGTGAGTCTATGGTGAACTTTTTATTAAGATTTTTTGCAATTGTATTTATATGCACCGGATTTCCTAATGCTCTCGCACCGACAGATTGTCCGTTTCCTTTTGATTTTCGCGTTGCTTCTACCATTGTCTTAGGTAATGGAGTTGATGTCTCCCTTGCGTGGGTTTTCCTCCCGGTCACTTCCCTGTTGGAGCTTTTCCCTTTCTTTTTTTGGTTTTCTTGCACCTCCTGTTGCTATTTTCTGGTGAGTTCTGTCGGTATACCTGTCTCCTGTTTTCTCGTTCTCTTTGAATATTGAGTGTCGGGGCGCGATTGGTGGTTCAATGTCTAGAAAACGCAAACATGTTCTGGTGTCCTTGCGATTTGTATGCAAGCTATCCGCTGTTTCTTAGTCGGCGGGGTTATATTTCAATTTATTGTGCCCGGTTTGTGTACTGTGTGTATGTTTGAGTTTTCCCGTGTATCATTTGGCAATTTTTTTCAATTTTTTCTGGATCTTTTTCTTTTGTGGCTATACGAACTGTTTTTCTCACTTCCTGTTCTATGTTCTTTTTGAAAATTTTCCCGATTTTTTTTTATATCTTACGAAATTGATCCTGTTCCTTAGCTTGTCTAATTCTCACACCAGTTTCTCGATGAGCTTGTGGTGCTGGACGTTGCAAAAGCTCCAGAAATAATGGTTCTGCAAACCGTTCGGTTGGTTTTTCTTGACCACCACCTCGAACTTGACCAACGTTGAAGGTCGTGCATCATCTCCGCGGGCAGTTGTGGGTGCTCTTTTTTTCGGTATGAACATGCGTGTTTTGCTTTTACCCAACTTAAGTTGCATGATCAGCTAGCTGTTGCTAGGTTTGAAAGCGTTGTGTTTGGTTTCCTTACCCTGTGGGCCTCAAAAAGTAAAGTTTTTGTCACTCCGCAAGGAGTTAAACTTAATTTAAAAAAAATCAGCGTCGTTAGAGGCCAGCTTAAAACGTGTGCTATATAGATCAGTTCTCATAATTCCTATACTAACTTTAAATGTTTGAATCTTTTTGTCTATGATCACTAAGGACATTTTGTCGACCAACGCAAAGATCAAATTTTACTTTTTGTTGTTGTTTGTTTGCTGAAGCTTTGAAAATATTTAGCTCTGATTAATTGTTTTTGGTCGCATCCAAGTTTTATTGGTACTCTGTTTTTTGATTGTATCTTCGCATAAGTTTTATGGCCACATCTGTTGTGGTATTAGGTACTACCTTAGCGATTGAAATTTTGACAATTTATCTATTGCCATAAAGATGTTTGCATCCCGGTTTAATTCACCCTAATAGAACCTGCAAAATCTATTTAAAGTTCTGCGTTGGGCTAAACTGCTGGATCTATTTCGAACGATTGTGATTTTGTTATAACTGACTTTAGCTGTTTACCGATGAATCTGCAGAAAAGATGGACCGATGAATCTGCAGAAAAAATTTTTGTTCGCAGGGGCCAATAATCGCAAAGAGAACTGTGTGTGTTAGATGGATTGATGCTTTTGTGGGGAGCACAAATCTTTCATCAATCAAGAAGCAGTCTAATCTGTCGGGCAACCGGTTGCTTGTGTTGCACCAGTGTTGCCCAAATGAGCAATTAAAGGCCCCTCAGTCTCGTTTGCGTTTGAAATTGACGATTCGCTTCATATTACGGTCTCTTCGAGTCGAAGCTGCCACCAAGCTGAAGCCAATTTCTTTTTGTAAGTTTTCCGGTACAAGGGCGTATCGCCTTCAGTTTGCCTTAGTGCACTGATCCATTTTGGCTACTATGCTACTTGAAAATAACTCGTGATTTAATTCGATTTATAGCTGCATTTGAACTTTTACTGTGTTCCACGTCATTGTCGGGCTCATATGTTCCGGATGATGTTGCGTATGCTCCACCCTGCTGATGCAATATTCGTAATGATCACTTATTTCAATTGATTTCTCCATCTGAGTCTGAATTTCATCAAGCCGTGTTTTTCCCCTTAGTATGCATGGCAGATTACTGTCATGGGGTTGTCGTTTTTGCAATTGAGTGATCGCGTTAACATCATTTTGCTCTTTTGTTGCTTGCTTTCCGTAAAAACTATCTTTGAGAAGAACACTTTATTTGCACTTTGATTCAAGAATTGTCTGATATCCCTGATTTCCATCTGGTTTTGCTGCGATTTCAAAAGCTGTTGCATACTTATGGATGTTTTCAACGCGTTTGAACAAGTCCAGGTTTCGTAATTTAAAAATGTTGTACGTCTGTGCCATTTTGGGTCAGACAGGCTTCTTCTCGGTCGCAATCTCCTAGCCACTTTATTGCTGGATTCTCCCCTCCGGGGTTATCAATGTTTGGTTTTGATTTTCTTCGTTTTTCTTTTCTTTATCAGTAAGGAAAACCCATTTGGAACTTTTTATAGTATTTTCGTTTTCACATTTGTTTCGATGAAAAACTTTTAGGGTTTTTTGCAGTGAGTATGAAGAAAAATTTCTTGTGGCGTCAATCAGCTTGTTCATTTCCAATCTTAAAATGACTGGAAAAAATTTCAATGTTTCAGTCAGTCAGAAATGCGCACCGCATCAGCTGATCAAGACGCTCGCAAAAAAACCATAACATGCCAATTAAGATTCCAATACATTTCAAACATTCCGTTCTTTCCCAATTTGGTCAAACGCATCAAAAAATTTTCACTTGCTCAAATATCTTGGTTTTTTCAGATATCTTGACATATGGTCTATTTGTCCCATTTTCGTTCCCGCTAAATGTTTGAAATCGAAGTTAAATGCAATTAATAGGGCAATCCATCTTTTCAGCATATTTGATTGGTTTTTGATCTTTTATTTGCGTTAAATGCGTCTATTAAAGCCTAATTATTTGTAGGGACGGTAAAATTTGTCCCGTTTAAATCATAATAACCCTGCTGATGCAATATTCGTGATGCTGACTTACTTCAATTGATTTCTCCATCTGAGTCTGGATTTCATGAAGCTGTGTTTTTTCCCTTTTGTATGAGTGGCAGATTCCTGACATGTGGTTGTCGGTTTTGCAATTGTGTGATCGCGTTAACATCATTTTGCTCATTTGTTGCTTGTGTCTGGCTTGCTTGCGACGTACTTTCCGTAAAAACTATCTTAAAGAAGAATTTTTTTTGCGTACTTTGATTCAAGAGTTGTCTGATATCCCTGATTTCCATCTGGTTTTGCTGCGATTTCAAAAGCTGTTGCATATTTGTGGATGTTTTCAACCCGTATGAACAAGTCCAGGTTTCGTAATTTAAAAATGTTGTACGTCTGTGCCATTTTGGGTCAGACAGGCTTCTTCTCGGTCGGAATCTCTTAGCCACTTTATTGCTGGATTCTCCCCTCCGGGGTTATCAATGGTTGGTTTTGATTTTCTTCGTTTTTCTTTTCAATATCAGTAAGGAAAACCCACTTGAAACTTTTAATAGTATTTTCGTTTTCGCATTTGTTTTGATGAAAAACTTTTTAGGGTTTTTTGCAGTGAGTATGAACAAAAATTTCTTGTGGGGTCAATCAGCTTGTTCATTTCCAATCTTAAAATGATTGGAAAAAAATTTCAAAGTTTCAGTCAATCAGAAATGCGCACCGTATCAGCTGATCAAGACGCTC